CTGATCGCCTATTTTTAACCGTAAACTTTGCAGAGCACGGGGGCACAGGTCCAGGTGGCAGGAGACATGCTGCCCAACTCGACCGAGCGAGCCATCACCATCGCTGGGATCCCACAGTCCATCATTGAGTGCGTCAAACAGATCTGCGTCGTCATGCTTGAGGTAGGACCTCCCCCTGGCCCCGTGGACCTGCTTTTTTGTTTTGGTTTGGTTTTTTTTCCCCCCCTGGGAAAGCACATGCAGCACATGGATCCCCGCTGCCCTTGGCAAGCCAGGTCCCCCCTCACAGGTGGAAATCACTGAGGACAGAGAAACGGCTGCTGGGGGATAAAGGGATAGCTGGGGATTACAGCCTCATCCAGGTGAGGCTTGGAGCTGCTTAAAATGGGGGTTGAACCAGGCCTCTAGAGCTGCTCGCCGGCTAATGGTGTCACCCACAGCTCCACGGTGACCAGTCGTGCTGCCCAGCACGGTGATGCTGAGCAGCGGTGTCCTGCTGTCCCAGTTCTCCCTCGCATTCTGCTCTGTTCCTCGAATATCCTCTCTTGGCCCCATGTCCAGGACAGGGAGAGAAATAGGATTACTCTGCCTCCTCATAAATAACCGATTTTTAAACCCAAAGCAGGGTGTTGGTGTCTGCGGTGGAGGGAGGGGATTGTCAGTGCCAGCAGCGCTCGGTGTCTAACCTCTCCTCTCTGCCTGTCACCCAGTCTCCCCCGAAGGGCGTCACCATCCCGTACCGACCCAAGCCATCCAGCTCTCCCGTCATCTTTGCAGGCGGTCAGGTAAGGCCTCTCCTTTGTTCCTGGGGGGCGGGGTGGGGGGGAGAAGCGGCAGCACCTCCCCGCCCGACAACCCCCCCCCAGCCGCTCTGCGTGCCTGTCACTCACGCCGCTTCCTCCGGCAGAGAGCGGCTCTGCTTGGCCTTGGCCTCCCAGAGCCTCCTCCGAGCCTTCCTCACTGAGGGATGGAAGAGGGCAGAGGTGGGATGGGGCGGGGAGGGGTGCCGAAAGGGCTGATTTGGGGAGGAGGGGGTGCTGGCAAGCAGTCCTGGAGTTAACCAGCCAAAAAAAAACCAACAAAAAAAACCAGAAAAAACACCCACAAAACCCCAAAACTAAAAAATCCCAGTGTGGTGGTGGCGG